TATTAAATGCGTTATTTTTCTATATATTTAACTTAATTATAAAATACGCCTGTTAACAGTATCTTTGGACAGAGGTACCTTGCTTATTTTCATAGCTGCTTCATTTCCTAACATCGTACTGACAATTTTTTGGCAAGCAGGCAAAATAAGTGACTCACCCAAAGTATGAGCTTTCATATTTTGTGCGATCAGTTCTGAGACTTGGTAAGAAGCAATTTGAGCTTTATCAGAAACAGTCATTAAACTTTTAAAAGAATCAGCTGCTTTTCCTTGCTGTTCGGACATCCTCTTAAAATAACTTGTGGGTTTGTCTTGTAAATGAGAGTGTTTACTTTTAAAATGTTTACCAAGTTTACTCGGGAGCATTGATTCATTTGACATTTTTATTCCACAAACTAAACATAATGGCTGCGGATTATCAACATTTCCGGTCCAAGAAAAGCCAAAGCTTAAATAACTCTCATCGTATTTATGAGTCGGTCGTGGTTTTGCTTTCTTACTAGAACAACTTTCCACATTTGAGGTTTGCTCATTTTCAAGATTACATTCATCAATGTCACGCTTCTTTTTTAAGAAACTTATCCATTTTTATGGGTGAATTATTCTTAACAAAGACAATTATATCAACGGTAATTATTCTGAAACTTGTAAAAGGCACAATACGATTACTCTTGACGGTAGTTCACAAGATACGACACGCCCACTCACCAACGCCTGTTATGCAACACTGCCAGTTGCCACGCGATGAAAGCTAGTGCCGGTGTTAACATGCCGTTCCAGCCACGTTTGTTATGCGTTTTAAACGCATGCAAAACTTGCGGACCAGAAGCTAGTTGCAAGAAAAGTAACTTATAACTATCATAATAATGTCGCAACGAAACAAGCAGAGTGTTCGTAAAGAAATGGTATAATATAGTAACTTAGTATACATTTGCTTTTCATATCTGGATAGATTTTTCAGGAATGCTACGAAGCTCACCTGAAAAAGCTCTGGGGCGCACTGTTTGAGAACCACTGGTCTACACTGTTGAAAAGTGCTAAAAATATAAGATTAAACAACAAATAATGGCCAAATTTTTAATGTTAGTAGCTGTAGATGTTTCTGGTCATGATATATTTTTTACTAGGTAAAATTAATAATTCTGTAAGCACTATCCATTTAATATTTTTTGTTTTGGAAATTTGTTGTATTAATATGCACAAGTGTTTTATTCTTTAGATAATAACTTGGACAGTATAAATCAAACCTCTCATCAGTATTAACATAAGCTAACATGTATCTGTCATAGGCTTCAGTTGGTTGAGAAAGACAAGAACCAAGGCTTGTTCACCAAGATCAAGAAGTTGTTTTGGAGAAAAAGCTATGTAGAATCTGACAAAGAAGAAACAAAGAAAAACAAATAGGACAAGTTTTTCTTAAAAGTCATATATTTGTGTGTGTGTGTGTGTATGTCAACTTTTCTCAGGCTGTAAAACACGTTTACTTTAAGATCATATTAGTAAATTTAGTCATTGTGTGTTTTAGCAGCTAACTAGCTGAGATCTTCTGTTTTTTACTGTATTCTCTTAATACCAGCAATAAACTTATTTCAGTGTCTATTAAAAAATTCTATTTCATTTTATATAAATGTTAAGACATTTTATCCTTATCATTGAAAATATAATAAAATTTATTCATCATGCTTCCCACGTTAAACCAATATTAAACAGAAATTTAAAGAATATTTTTTAAGGAGAATCTTGGTATATATATATATATATATATATGCATCCTACTTTCAGAGGAAAGGGTGGCAAGAGTCTGGCTGAAGGAAACACCAAACAAAGATGCAATGTTTTGTTTATCATGTCAAGTATTTAGTAATAGAATGTATCAAACCACATAGGATAACTGGTGACATAAGGACTTAAGAACTGGAAGAAAGGCCTCAAGAAAATACACACCCATGAGGATTCAATGTTCATCCTGACTAAGCCATCACTTGGAAAATATTTATCACTAAAGGAAATATGCTAAATCAGATGAATAAAGGAACAGCAGCACTAAAACATAGAGAAGCTCAAGAAAACTGTGAGTTTTTAAAGAGACTTTAAGATGTCATGTACTTTCTTACAAGTATGAGAATATAAATGGTCTTTGAAAAAAGGATAACTTTCTTGAGGTTGTTTAACTGTTGGATAAGTATGACACTGTATTGATGAATAATCATATAGATAAGTTGAAGCAGAATAATAGATATTTTTCACTTCTTCTCCAAAATTACTTCATCAAAACTTTGGTGAGAAAACACATAGTAAGTTGCATTCATGAAGCTGAATGTTTCAGTGTCTTGTAATGGATAAACCTTCTGACTGCACTCATATAGAACAAGTTTCTCTTGTATTCCACTAAGCCATCGATGGGAAAATATTTCAATATTCTGCAATTTCATAATGTTCAGATAATGGATGCTGAAACTGTTTTATGTCAATTCCAAGAACCACATTTTCTTCCAATAATGCCAAAAAGAGTGAGATATTGCAAGTCCTACTTCTCTGAAGGGACTCTCTGGCACAAATGGACCGATGGAGCTTTGCACGTCATCAAAACAACCTTTCCAGTAATCATCGACACTCTGTAAGAAATTGCCAAGACAGGAAGCAACAGTGAGTGGACTGTATAATTCTGTCATTGTTTGACTTCATTGCAGTATTTTGTGTGCTTATTAGTTATTAGAAACCATAATAGTGGCATCAGGAGCATGTTATTACACTAGACAGAGCTATTTAGCTCATTGAAAAGGCAGCACCAAGCAAGAAGGATAACAGACCAAATGAATATTTCAAAATGCTGATGAAACAGGTCAAAGATCTGGCATAAGAAGAATGTGATTTTCCAATTGCAGATGAAAATGACAAAGCAACAACCAGAATAATTTACCCATGACAAGATACCCAACTGCACAACAGCTTTCAAAGTGAATGTGTTTTAATCAAGCATTGGCACACATCATGTACAATTTAATGAATGCTTTATAAAGCAGTTAGAAACTCCTCGGTCTTTCAAAATCTTGATAAGTGAGAGATGAATTTAAGAAAGATTTAGGAGTTCTACTTGTTTTTATTGTTAAAAAAGGGAGAAAAGTCAACCCAAGCAAAATATACACATAAAAAGTAATGTAGATGTAATTTCAACAAAAAGTAACCAAAAGCATTTTGTGTACATATATCAGACAGAACTTTCTCTTGTGATGCAAAACATGTATTGAATCTACAAGATTGTTTGCATCATTCCAGCCACATAAGTGGAAGCTGAACAGTTTTTTAAAACTCAAAATTATAAAAAGAAAAATACAGAAGGTCAGTCTAATGTCTAATTATAAAAGTAACTAAAATGTAAAAATTGGGATCCCTTTAGGTTTGTTAAGATTAGATTAAGTAAAATAAATAATAATATTATAATAAAAATGTTTCATGAGGCACACAAACACGAGCAGCTTGTGGATAATGTAATTCGTTAGTGTAACGTGAGCTGTACATTCTCCAAGTGATTTACAACTTATAATGGTGCAAATAGTAGTAATATAAAGTTCAAAAGGCAATAAAACAATAAAATTTAATTATAAATAGATATG